GATGTTTTAGTGATTACAGTTAAGGTAGATAGAGAATGGGGCAGAAAGAGAAGGCACAAAGAATTTTCTCTACAGGTGTTCTCTGTAACCTCTCATCTAGGTTAAATTAGATAAAAAGGACTGTATTTGTCAAAGATGGCATGGAGGACAGAAAGTGATGATTACAGAGAAGATCTCTCACTGGAAATAGAAAGTGTTAAAGTTTAAAAGTTAAAGTGTTAAAGTAATAAAGCTGTAAGTATTCATTTACACATATCCAGTTTATGCATTAATAGCTTGCTGGCTGGGGATTAGTAATTTGAACTCTAAATTGACGATAAGGAGTGATCACAATTATACAAGAGTCCAAGATCAAGGGCATAGGAAAATCAACTCTCATTACTCAGAATTTAAAAATAAGCCTCTGAAGGGACATGTAACTGTTTTTACAAAGAAAAATTGAGAAACTGAGAAGATGATAAGAAATCACACTTGTCAGAGAAAAAGGAACTCTCCTACACTGCTGGTGGGAATGCAAACAGGCCCAACCACTATGGAAAGCTGTGTGTGGGTTCCTCAGACTGCTATAAATGCAGCTTCCATATGACCAAGCAATTCCACTCTTAGGAATCTACCCAAAGGACGCAAAAACATTAATTCGAAAGGATACCTGCACCCCTATGTTTACTGCAGCACTATATACAACAGGTAAGATATGGAAACAACCCAAATGCCTAAAAGTAGATGACTGGATCAAGAAGATGTGGTACATATACACAATGGAATACTAATCAGCAATCAAAAAAGATAAACTCATGCCATCTGCAGCAATGGATGGTGCTGGAAGGGATTATGCTCAGTGAAATTAGCCAGAGAGAAAAAGAAAAATATTGGATGGCTTCACTTATAGGAGGAGTGCAGGGGAACCAAATAAGGGATCAGGAATAAAATAATAATAATAAATTAAAAAACAAAATTATCAGGCAACTATAATCAGAGACACTCTGCAGGGGAGGAGGAGGGAGAGGGATGAAAACAGGGGAGGGAAGAGCACATTGGACTATGGCGATGGTGCACGGGTGAATTGGTGGTGGGAATTATTCGGGGACTACACCTGAGAGGAGAAAGCATGCATTGTACGAAAAGGAAGAATGATGTGAAAGAAGAGAGAAGCAATAGAGTACATTTTCAGAGTCTTGCTAAAAATAAAGATCCAGAGAAAAGAAAGCCTCCAAGAGTAAGGTCTATATTAAAAAAAAAAATCACATTTTGAAGATCATATGTTGGGGGAAAAGTGTCCCGAGTGAACTCCATGCACTAATGTTTTATGGGTTCCACTCCCACTTCCATGCCAAAGGGATTCCAGGGTCGTAGGATTACAATTCTCATCATGCCATGGGTCTGCCTTAATCCTTAACTTCTTGAAAGGGGGATTGCTGGGAACCAAGGGTAGAATTCAGTAGCCATGCTTGGTAGTAAAAGGAAGAACAGGTGGGCTGCAGGGAACTTGGTTTGGCCTGCTTTCCCCATGTACCTGGGATCCCAGCTCAGGCGGCATTACTGGTAGGATTCATTGACCAATTAATCTCTCTATAACTCAGAAGTTAGTTACAGAGATTTATTCAAAGATTCAGAGAAAAGGGTGCTGTTATCTAATAATTTAAAACAAAGTTTCCACTCCTAGGCAAGTTTATGGGAATTTCCCTTGTTGGACAGCCTCACAGGGAAAAACATCTTTATTCTAAAAATTATGTTTATTGAGGTACTGTTGTTTTATCACACTGTATGTTTTAGGGAGATAGATTCCCACCTCTCCAAGTGGATGTTATATCATTAAAGCCATAATAATCTTGCATTATTGTCCACTGGGTCCCCTCCCCACTTTGCTCCCCCTCTGCCCCCTCCCCCTCCACTTGCCTGCTCCTTGTAGCTTCTGTTATTCAGTCAGATTTCAAGCGCTTGTTTTTGTCTGTTCTTTTGCTTAATTTGTTTATATTCCACAGATGAGTAAAACCATACACAATTTGTCTTTTTCTGACTTATTTAACTTAGCATAATCCCCTCCATTTCTATCCATGTTTCACAAATCACAAGATTTCATCTTTGAAAAACACCTTTAATACATTACTATATGATGTGCACTTGCTTACTGACCATGGCAAGGAGGAATTCCAGTTAATTTATAAAAAAATTCATACAGATGTGGTCTTCTCTAGGCCTCCAGGGAGGCCTAAATCTAGCAAATGGTGCCTTCCCTAGCAAAGGCCAGCTAGTAGATAGAGCTTACTGGTGGATTGCATGCTGAAACTGGGCAGAGCCTTCATCTGTGGACTTTAGAGCCATCCAACTTTAGGACACTAATGATATGTCTTTTACATCTATATTCTGAAATAATAATATTCAATATTTATTGAATACTTCCTACATACTAGGCACCTTGCTAAAAATTTAATACACTTAATCTTCACAGCAAACCCAGGAATTTCTGTCTACCATATTTTACAGATTAGGAAACCAAAGCTCAAAGAAAAACACACAAACTGCTTGATAAGGAATTTCCTAGTATTACTAATGACCTTGACTGCTACACTCTAATATGACCTTGACTGCTACATTTTATTACATCTTTTAATACAAATGTGCAGGAAATGGTACCAGTCTGCTATTCAGGGTACAACTGATTTCCTTCAAGTTTCTGGGAAATCGGAATCTCAGTTTGCTTTGTCAGGCACCCTGCATACAAAAAAACCTAAATTATCTTTTAGTATTTCTTTCCTAGTGCCCAAAGTCCCAAGTAATAGAAACCTAATGAGAATTAAATCTTAACTTGTTGAATTCTTTCTTAAGCATTTCAATGAGATAAATTTAAGTACTCTCCCTTGAGACAGTGTAGACATATAGCAGACTTCAGTTTCTTGTTTTAGAATTCAAAGATCACTCAATTCTGCCAGGAAACCACTACTACAGTATTCTGTTTTCCTACAGAGCAGGAAACAGGTATAGCTGTGGGGCAGCTAACAAGCCTCTGTGGTATGACTAGATGAACAATTTAAAGTAAGACCATATCCTCAGACATAAATTCCCCCAAAGTACTTTCAAAACTGCCATTTCTCATTCCTCCTTCACTATCTTATCCAAACATTAAGGAATTCATCTTTTGTATTTTATCATTTTTGGTGTGTTCTTTTATTGGAAATATTTCAGGAACATCCTTCAGGACAACCTTCTATTCAATATTTCTTTTGCATATATATACACTATAGATATTTATACTAAAACCATTTAAACAATCCATCACAACATTTTTCCTGACAGAACTATAAAGTTCTTTCATTCTTAATTGCTGAATTTCAAGTTTGAGGTACAAATAACTTAGAAAAAAAATTCTTACCTTATTAGCAATCTAAATCTTTTCCTTGAATGCTAAGTCGTCCATAAGATTCAATTCAGTTTAAGTATGAGAGGGAGTACTGTGAATGCAGTGAGTCTGAGAGTAAAGTCTAAGGTATGTTATATTACTTATCACCTATTGCAAAATACAACAGTGCTGATAAGTATTTTTTCTATGAAAGCCTCACCCATATGCAGGTCAGTACAGAGGTTGAGTCCAAATCAGAATGCCACTTACCGATAATATAATGGAGCAGGTAAGCATTGACTTTTCTCTAGGTTTCCATGCTGTGTACTGGTCTTTACCAGCAGTGTGATTCCCTGGGGTGTCAACCCTGGGCTAGAACTGCTCCGTGACCTCCATGTCCATAACAAACCTGTCTAGTTTGCTGCAGAGTAGTAAAGAGAACTGTGCTGCTGGTTACAGTGGGTGCTAACTATCCCATGAAAAACAACTGTGACCCTACACAAAATCATAGTTAATCCATACCTACAATAAGCTTTCTTTGTAAACTTCCTTTAACTCCCTGAGGGGAAAACAAAATAGTGCTCTTTTTTACACTATCACATCACTTGTTAAAATTTTGACACAGTTCGCTTTCTCATACATGCACACATGTGCAGTAGATACTAGGGACCATGCTTTACTCACCCTTGTAGTCTCAACAACTAGTATTATGCCTACCATAAATTAACACATAGTAAGTGCTCAGTCTTTGCTTATTGAATGCATAAAGATAAAAGACACAAAGTAAACAACAGGCACTTCATAAGGACAATGCGCTCTTCAATAGGATTCATCTAGCCCAGTCAAAGGATACCATCCAAGCCTTAGCAGGGCACACTAAGATCTTGCTCAAATGGCCCTGCCTAAACTTCTAGCCTTCATGCATCACATCCCACAGCTGCATCATCGTCCTACTACATGGAGACACTTGGAAGAGAGGGCAGGGTGTATTTGGGGAACTCCTCCCTCTTCTTACCCACCTCTTTCTTACCTTTCTTCTCAGAAGTCAACTGTGATGAGCCTTTATTACCCACTAGAAGGTGAGCTGGAGGTCCCTGCTCACATCTCAGAATCCCCAAAGTCACCCATGCCAACTTGAATCTTTAATAAGACCCATTATGAATTAAGATCAAACTGGGACTTCCTTTAAAAATGCAGCCAAGCCCAGCTTTCACCTTGAATTCTCAGGGGCCACATAGCTTCTGGAACATCAGAATCACTCTAATTTAGTTTATGGAAATAGCCAAGATCCTAAAGCATCTTCATGTAGAGGACAGACTTTCACAGCATCTCAAAGTAGAGGGACTAGATATTCTTTGAAAATTTTTGAAGCTTTAGGATGAAATACCACAAACAAAGTGACTTGCTGTGCAGTGATTATTCAAGCCAAAGTAAAAATAGAATTAAAGTTTTTAAGAATATCAATGACTAGGATACAGGGGCTTGGTCTAAAGTTTGTCACAACGGAAGTTACTACATCTAAGCTACAATTCAAGTCTACATCGAAAATTTTAGGTTATGAACCTCTTCCTTGCAATGTATTTGTCACTACCTCTCCATAAGGAGTATCTGAAAGGAAGTTGAATCTAATGGACCCTAGATCAGGTTACCCCATAGTACTCACTGCCAGCAGAGAGGTTCCATTGTTAAGCTTTGAGATCTGCAATTACTCAAGCACCAGTTTGGGCTCTCCTCTACAAAGTTCCTCCATAATATCTTCAAATTGCTGGGACAGAAATGGCAGATGGAAGCATTAATCTTGATTATACCTATCATGCATGCATATGTACCTACGTTAAGGCTCAGAGGGGACTTTAAAGTAATATTGGGATTTAACACTTAACTAAATTTGCAAAAGTTCTTAAGAAATAAATGTATAATTACATTGTAATTTGAGGATGGGAGAGTAGCTACTGACTGAATCCTCAGAGATCAAATAGGATTGAAACTAATAATCCAACTGGAAACTTCCAATTGTCAAAATAGAGCAGAAGAAAGTAAATTTGAGCTCTAAAGCTGAAGGGTGGACAGACATGACTAAAATGTAAATTATAAAATATAAGTTGTAAAACATCTTAAATTGGTCTGAGAAGCAGACTAGATATTATAGTCTATATATATTAGGCATTTGCTAAATCAATTCAATCAATATTTCTAATAAGAAACAATCTCTTAACATCCTAATTAGCAGATAATTGAATTTGTTTAATCACACATTTCTTTTCCAAGATGTGACATGTGACATTTGTCACCATCAGTGCATGTCTTCCTTTCCTGGTCCACTGTTGTCAACAGACAGGTGCAGGGGCTTCCCGTGGCTTTCTCAGTTCTTTCTGTGACCTCCCCTTGTTTCGCTGTTTTCTCTGTATGTCTACATATCTCAGATATAGGACAGCCTCAACTATTTCAGTTTTGTAGTGAGTTTTCCTTTAAATTGCTTCACTGGGCTTTACAAATCCTTAATGATCACCCTGGATAACAAAGCAAGGCAGATTACCCACTGTCTCTTTTAGGATGAGGAATCAGGAGCTAATAGTGAACAAGTGATGCATCTAATGAATTGGTGTCAAAGATGCGCATCCTATTAGGTATCTGCCACTTCCATTTCCTGTCCCATCAGCTCACCTTTTGGCTCTGACCATGACAGTGTCCACAGTGAGCTGTGCCCTGGTACTCTTGCTGTTAACTCATCTCAGTTGTACTGTGTCTATCTTCTTTGTCTCAGGAATTTTCTGTTTCCTAATGAGAATCCTGAAAGAGAGACTATTAATACCCTTCAGTGTCAGCCTGCAGGGGTCAAGTTTCTCCTCTCTTCTGTGTGTCTGAATTTTGTGATAGCTCTTCTACGTGGTTACTTAAAGCATCCCTATCAGCAGCCTAGGACTAAGCCCAGTAACCCACAGGGATAGTTGACTGAGCAACACTAACTCTCCTTCCTTGTTTCACTCTTCCCTAGGGCCTCTACCCTATTCCCCAGGTTCACTTCCCCAAATCAACCACAAGCATGAAAGACTTAGCTCAGGCTCTGCTTCTTGGAGGGACATAAGCTACAACAGACTGCAAATACATTCTTTTGATTTTCTGGTTCGTTTTTCTTATTACCCTATTAATCACCAGACCTAAAATTCAATACTCATCTTTTGTTATTTATAATCACAGGCAAAGGCTATATAATTTAATATTTGGATGCCAAGTATAACCTCTGTGAGCAACTAGTGCCATCACAAGTTAAATGCTTAGTAATGGGAAATTGTGGTTACCTTTAAGGTAGTGATTTTTTAAAGAAGAATAATAGATATGTAAATAGAAGAGAAATATATAAATTGTTTTTCTACAGATGACTTGAGAGCTGGAAGCAGATATCTCTACCAGGTGATATTTCTAGGGTCATTCTATAAATGTTCCACATCTATAAAGCTTTCTGACTATCTCCTTTTCATCCAATGTTTTCTTTTCTTTTTTTTTCTTTTCATCCAATGTTTTCTAATATAAAGTAAAAATTTTAATCTTTTTCCTTTAGATATATTGATGACTTACATTAAGCATTTTCCCTGAAAGGACAAAACAGAATTATGTCTTTATAGTTTTAAGATTGCTAATAACAATATGTCAAAATTTACTAGTTGTAATTATATATACATAAATGTATTAATGGTGGTTGTATTTCACAAATTTTATTAAGATGGAACATGTTCATTTCTGGTACAAAAAAATAAATGAAATCTCTTGGGTGAAGTGCCATATTATATCACATACCAGGACAGAATCAAGAAAATCCAACTGCAGAATGTCAAACTAGTCTTGATTTAGAAAGGACACATTGAAGATAAATAATAGTACAAAATGAACAATTCTAATCAGTTTGTATAAACTATCAGATAGTTTACAGATAAGTTGGTCACACTACTTCTGATTTAGGAGCCAACAAAGATTATTTTATAACATGTGACAAATATCAGAAATCAAACAGGCTGAATATAAACATTACTATGACTGCTTGCCACTAAGCTTGAGATTTAGTATATTAAGTTATAAATATGAAGAAAACAAAGACCCAGCTTCTGGATCTTAGATATATTGGCTGCCACATCCACCACTGAGGAACTGATACACACCCACACACATACACAGAGACACACACACACAATCTATATAGAGTGGCCAATGAGCCCTTTTCTCTCAAAGAATAAAATAAAAATACCTATAAAATTATTAGTTACTATTATATAGGCTAACCACCAGCTATTATCCATGATTAATAAATTGATAAAAATTAATAAAAAATATTTAAATTATAATTTGTTTGAACACACACAAAACTAATAACAGAACATTTTAGTTGAAAAGAATAAAGTGAAAGCTTTTACCATAATTAATTCCTCAGGAGAAAAACAACATGTATTCCTGATTTAAAAAATTCTTCTTGAAGCTCTGTGCAGTTTACTCTTTAGTCAAAAAGTGAAATACCTTTGTTTCAATGAATTCATTCTTTGACTTCACATTTCACTAGAGTAAAGTTCTCATAGGTACATTATCATGACTTTTGCTATTCTCATCTTATTATCAATATTAGATTCATGTTTACATTACAATCTTGGTAAAAACCAAGTTATCAATGTATTCTAATGAGTTTTGCCTAAAGTCCCATATGTTGATGTGGCAATAATCACTAGAGATATATATTCAGAAAGAGACAAAAGTTTAAAAGAGAAACAATGACTGAAAGACAGTAGACATTATAAATGGCCACAATTGGTGGTCACCTTTTAATGTTGCAGATGGCCAACGAGACAGGACCCATGGGAGAAAAATCTTTCAAACCCATGGTAAGACTAATACCTCAACTAATGGTAGACAGGGTGGACTTTATTGGAAATCCATTATGAAGCCTTTAGTCTGAAGTAAATTATACACTTGCTCTGGAAACAGGGCAATTATGTGAAATGTTAATGAATACTTTCAGACAAAAGAAGTGTCAAAATAGCAAAGTGGGATTGGATTTTATGAGGAGGTTAATTTCTTAAGTCAGCATATAAAGCAAAACACTCACAAAGTCAAAATTACCTCTGAAAATTCCTTGTGAAAATCTCTGTGACTTAACAGACAGAAGCATCTCAAGTTCAATAGAGATGTTTATTTTTCTATCTTTATTTTTTTAAAGAATGGAAACATTACTATTTCCTTATTTTAGGTTACTATTTTTTCAGTTAAGTAAGCAATACTGCTGTCTTGAATTTAGGGACTAGTCACTGAAAAGCAATATGTTCCTAATCACTATAAAATAGTTACACTATAAAATAGTTACAATCAAAATAATGTGACTTTCCAGAAGTCACAAAACATTATGTGGTGTCGATTACCTTTAAGGTTGGTAATGTACTTTTACCTACATGTGAAAGCAACAGCTCTTAAAGTAATTCTCAAGGTAATCTCTGAGATAGGCCCATTTTTATGAAGGAGAAAGCTGTCAGAAGTACAGACTGCAGGAGAGGAAATCAGAAAAATCCATGCAAAAATGCTATCTTTGGACCTATCATTTTGACTTTTTAAGATTCCAGGTCAGCACCCACACCAATCACCCGTTTGAATTCATAATTTAGATTTTTTACTTAGTCTTAGAATTGAAGATCTACTGACACAGGCCAGAGATAAAAGTTTGGGTCAGTTTTCTTTGTATCTCACTTTTACATAAAAGTTAGTATCCTAAACTCAGTATTTAAACCTTGCTTTCTCTTTAAATAATATTCCATATCAGTCATGACTTAGAGCTCATACAATTTTTCTTTTGATGATGTCATAGAATTCCATTGAATGGATATAATTATTTTAACCAGTCCCCTACTGAAAAACAGCAAGATTAATTTCGAAGCTTTTGTTAATAATGGTTTAACAAAGACAGTTATACACACATTACTTTGTACACATGCAAGTACTTATGTCATTTGCATTACCCCCATAGTGGAATTTCTCTGCTAACGATTACATATATTCATGATTTTGATAGATAAAAAATGCCCCTCCACAGGAAAAATAAAATTTTACCCTCCATGGCATCACAGATGGCCTATGTTACAAAAGTTTGGGGTTTTGCTAGTATAAAAAGGGTAAAATGGTTATTTCAGGGTGATTGAATCTGAAATTTTCATTCTGTAATTGAGCTTGACATCTGTAAAAGAGTCATCTGATTTTTTTTTTCAGAGAATTATCTCTATCTTCGGACCCTTTTGTTTGTTGTTGCTAATCTTTCACTTATTAATTTCTTTCTCTCTCCTTTTTGGTTTATATTGTGTTTTGTTTTGGGAGTATAAGTTTTAGCAACAGAGAGACCTGCACTTGAATCTCAGAATCACCTTTCTAAAAAACTTCTTATCTTATGATAATTGTAGATTCACATGCAGTTGTAAGAAATAATGCAATAAAATGCATTGTACCCCTTATCCACTTTGCTTGAAAAGTAACATCTGGCATAACTAAAGTATAATATCAAAAAGTGAGTTAGTTTGTTAGGGCTGCCATAACAAAGTACCATGGTCTTGGAGGCTAGAAGTCCAAGTTCAAGGTATTAACAGGGTTGGTTTTTCCCAAGGCCTCTGACCTCAGAAGCTGAGGTTCAACTGAGTCTAACGCATGAAAGTGTTGATGAGGTTGATTTCTCTTGGCTTGGAGAGAACTGTCTTCTCCCTGTGTCTCTACAGATCTTCCTTCTCTATGTGTGTGTATCCAAATTTCCTTTTCTGGTAAGGGAAGCAGTTATATTGATTAATGCCCATCCCAATGACCTCAGTTTTAACTACTTTTTTAAAGACTATCTCCAAATATATTCACATTGTTGGAAGTACTGAGGGTTAGAATTTCAACATATGAATTTGGGGAAGGACATAATCCTTCCTCTCATCTCAACCCCTGGCATTAATGAATCTCTTCGCCCTCTCTATTATTTGTTATTAAAAGAATGCCTTATAAATGGTATCAGACAATATAAAACCTTTTGAGACTATCTTTCTAAATTCAGCATAATTCTCTGGAGATTCATCCAGATGGTGCATTGTCAATACATCATTCCCCTTTATTGTTGATACACATACATGGTGTGTTCCGAGTTTGCTACTGTGTGTCTAACCAGTCACTTGCTGAAAATCATCAGGACTTTATAGTTTGGGGTATTGTAAATAAATAAGACTGCCATAAATACCCATGTACAAGTTTATGAGTGAAAGCATTTTTTCATCTCTTTGGCATAAATACCCAGGAGCACAAATGCTGGGATATTTAGAGTTTAAAGAAACTGCCTACTTTCCAGAAAGGCTATACTTTTATATTTCCTTTAGCATTGTAAGTGATTTACTAGCAACAGGAGTTACCGAATTTTCTAAATCTCCAGAATTTGGTAGTGTTCCTAATTTTTACCAGCATTTGTTGCTGTCACAACTTAGTCACTCTGATAGGCGTGCAGTGTTATCTCACTGTGGTTTTAATTTGTATTTCCCATTTTTCATGTGCCTATTTACCATCTGTAGATATTCTTGGGTAAAATGTCTGCTCATACTTTTGTCTATTTTTTAATCGAATTCCTTTTTAACAGCTGAGTTTTGAGAGTATTTTATATATTTTAGATACTAATCTTTTATCAGATATAATTTGCAAATATTTTCTCTCTGTAGCAGAGCAAAAGTTTTTAATTTATGAAACTCTGGATCTCATTTTCATGTTGCATTTCAGTTGGCTTTTTCTGACCCAGTTCCAGCAGAGAAAGGCAGAGATACCATTTCCTTACTACAGCCCACATGAGGAGGGCAAGGTTCTCCTTTGCCTGGAAGGGATGAAAGTATCATTTCCTATTGCACCTTCTCTGACACCTCCTGCCCAACTCCACTCCCATTAACGAGAAGGCATGATACTTCTTTATAGACTCCAGGAGATAGAACTCTAGGCTCTTCACCACAGTTTTTCTGTGATGTTTGAATGAATTAGAGAAGTCAATGCCTGAATCTAAACTTGCTAGGTATTACCTTTCCTGGTTTTTAGTAGAGAGGTACCGCCTTTCTTGGGGGAAAACAGGAGGCAGGAGCTTTTGGTCTATGTTTATTGGTATTTCCAGGTTGCCTACATTTTCCGCTCCAACTCTGGGATATGTGACACTAAAAGACAATTCAGGAATTCTCCACACTGTCACTCCTCAGGTACTGGGGTTCCTGGCCTAATACAGAAGATTAAACATGAACACAGGTAAGTTGCTTAACTCTGAAATATAAGACTGCTTCTTTCTGAAATATGTTATATGTATTAACATTATGACGACTGATCTGAAAGTGGGTCTAATTGAAATGAAGTAAATTATGCTATCCATTAAAGCAGTCACTTTTTTTTCTTTTTCTTTATATTCACCATACAATTGTACCCCCTTATTTCAACCCTAATCCCTCCTTCCCGCCCCCCGCATAGTGTGTCTCTGGTTTATAGTTGTTTGTTGATTTTGATTTTTACTTTGTATTAATTAGTCTTTTTCCTGGTCCCTTATTTAGGTTTTCTAGATTCCTGCTATGAGTGAGACCACCTGGTATTTTTCTTTTTCATTCTGGCTTATTTCGCTGAGCATGATCCCTTCCAGCTCCATCCATGTTGCTGCAAATTGCATGTGTTTTCTTTTTTGAATGCTGAGTAATATTCCATTGTGTATATGTACCACTTCTTGATCCAGTCATCTATTTTTGGGCATTTGGGTTGTTTCCAAAGCTTATCTATTGTAAATAGTGCTAAAGCATTCACTTATTGATAAAGTCATTGACAAACAAACATATAAAAGGCAAGGAAAGATAAAAGATTAGCTGTGCTGAGAGGTCAAAATAAAACTAAAGTTGACCCTGAAAACACAATTCTGAAAGCAGTGTAAGTATAGGACCTGAATTAAAGCAATTTTAGATGTTTTGGACTCCATCCCCATGGGCTCTCCAAAACCTTCTCTAGGTTTTGGCAATGGCTAAGGTTTTCTCAGAAGAGCAGCCCTTCCCTCTTCACGAGCTGATACTACAAGGGGAAGCTCTGGACCGAACTGCCCCACTCATGAGTTGGTTTCTAGAATCTAAACTTAGTTGTTCATATCCATACCCATTTTACTTCCAACTGAATTAGAAGGTTCTTTACATTATAAAATAGTTCCAAGTTTTAGAGCTGGGGAAAATTGCAAGGTACGCATTCACAACCCTGAGATTAATTGACTGAGTTTCTGGATTTTAACAATTCAAAGAAATATGAAGGTGAAGATTTGCTCAAGTGTTCTGAGTAATCTCCCATATGGTAATTCAATGTCTACCACAGGTATCTATTTAAAATATCTATATTTCGGGCCTCCCTGGTGGCGCAGCGGTTGAGCGCTGGGTTGCGATGCTGCCCGCAGCCTCTGCAGCGCTGGTTCGATTCCCGGCTGCTCCCCTGCCACTGGAGGAGGGTCCCACATGGCGCACAGACCTCTCCTGCCGCCCACTGCTCCCCTCAGGAGTATACTTCGGTCCTCTGCCTGCTCTGCTCCCCACTCTGGCTCTGGTGAATTCTCTCACCCTCCCGCACTTCTGACTACACCCAGTGCTTGTATAAATAAATAATATATATAAAAAACTAAAATAAAAAAATAAAATATCTATATTTTCTTATATACTATAAATGATTCCATCTAACTTTGACATAACAATTTTCCTGTATTTTTCTGAAGGATACAAATTTTCCAGAATCTCCTTCCCTGCTTTGGAAGTGAGCTGAAGAACCAGAATCCTTAACAGAAGCCTGTTTTATGTTATGTGAAGATCAGATGTCTTCCTCCATGGGTATGTATTTTGTCTGATTTAACAGAAGAATCTTCCATGCCCAGAAACATATACTTGCCATCTCTAGATGAGACAGATACACCCTTGTTTTCTTTATTCCTATACATCTGTTGAGACCAAGTTTACCTAAACTTAGATTATATTTATCCAGTTACCAGGGGAGGTGAAGAATATTTTAAATAACATGAAAACCACTTACCACTTTAAAGGTTTCTTTCAAAACACGGTTGATATTTATTCACCTTTGTCACTCTAGCATCTTGGGTGCTCACTGCCTTGTAGCTAATAAGCATTTATTGAATGAAAGGGATATGAAAGAAGGAAAAAATAAAAGAAGTTAGTTCAAGCATTTATTTAAAATATTGCAACATGATAAGCGCTCAAGTTGAGAGTTCTAATGGGATTCAAACACTTAATGGTTTTTTAAGCCATATTAGAGAAGATCAATTTTTTTGTCCCCATTCCTGAAAGGTATGGGAAAACTGAGGTGTGTTGATCACAGGACCAGATACAGGGATAAGACGACTAGGGTCATGGTTTAGTAATCATTGGTGGGACAACTGCATTTAGGAAAAGAGATGGTGAGGAACGGTTGTGGCTAAGGTCATGCAGGGGTCAGTGAGCATCTTTTACAATGAAATAATAATGTGAGACCCTTAAAAATACATGAATTGACTGCTACCCTAACACAAGATCATTAAAAACAGAGCCTGGAATTTTGAAAAGGCACAGAGGAGAGAAGATCAATAGAAAGAAACATGGAGGCACTAAGAGTAGAGCACAGTGTGGATAAGTCAGAAAGGCATGAATGTTTCAGGAACATCAAGATTGTATTAGATAATAAAGGCAAGCAGTGAGTTAGATGAAAATTAAAAACAACTCTTTGGTGGCAAACAAATTCTTCTTGGAATATGTTAACCTTTTACCTTTTCTTCAATGTGGGGCTTTTCTCGCAGGACTATTTTTAGGTAAGTTAGAGATTTTTATTTTTGTTTTTTTAATTTTATAGATCTTTTTACATCATTTTTCATTTTTGTACAATGTATGCATTTTCATCTTGGTTATAGTCCCCATACAATTCCCTCCACCCTTATTTTGATCCTACTCCCTTCTCCCCCTCTACTCCGTAGTGTGTCCCTGGTTTATAGTTGCTTGTTGCTTGTTGATTTTTATTTTATTATACTTAGTCTTTTTCCTGATCCCTTATTTAGGTTTTCTAGATTCCTGCTATGAGTGAGACCATCCGGTATTTTTCTTTTTCTTTCTGGCTTATTTCACTGATAAGATGGAGCATGATCCCTTCCAGCTCCATTCATGTTGCTACAATATCATGAGTTTATCTTTTTGAATGCTGAGTAATATTCCATTGTGTATAAGTACCACATCTTTTTGATCCAGTCATCTATTTTTGGGCATTTGGGCTGTTTCCATAGCTTAGCTATTATAAATAGTGCTGCAATAAACATAGGGGTGCAGGTGTCCTTTTGAATTAATGGTTCTGTGTCCTCTGGGTAAATACCTAAGAGTGGAATTGCTGGATCATATGAAGCTCCATTTTTAGCAGACTGAGAAACCTCCACACAGCTCTCCATAGTGGTTGGACCATTTTGCACTCCCACCAGCAGTACAGTAGAGTTCCTTTTTTCTCCACATCCTCGCCAACATGTGTTATAGCTAGTTTTTTTAATATGTGCCATTCTCACTGGTGTAAGATAGCATCTCATTGTAATTAAGTTAGATTTTTATTGAAAATTAATTTCATTTAAAGTATCCAGTATAGAAATTTGCATTCTTACTCTCTAATAAAAAATAGTTGGGGATAATTGGAATTTCATGAAAAACATAACAGATAAGGAGTTATCAATATTTATGTTTCCAGAAGAATAGTGAATTACATATTGTAAATGATCCCTCCCAACTAAATCTAAGAGAATGAATAGAAAAATAAAAATGGTCTACTATGAAGTGTGAATAGGCCATACAAAATTAAGGAATATTAAAAATTCCCTAACTTACTCAAGTCACTAATGTTGGATCATATGATAAGTTCTAAATCAGTTGATCCCTGGAAATTATTGAGCTGCTTCTTCATGAGCTAATATAAGAAAGAGGAATTAAATCCAATGGCTCATTCAGTCACGGAATTTAATAAGATATCCCTGCATAATATTTTGTTTCCTATAGGATATACACAGAAAAACAACCAAACATTGCCAAAGAAGATGACCTCAAGGAAGCATGCTTTCTTAAAGTGCTAAGTGAAGGAAAAAGAAAATCAGTTCTGCCTTGAGAATATATAAACATAAATTAGTTCTCAAGTTTACTGTATACATTCAAGTTACCTGTGTGGTTCAAGGAAACCACAGGCACAGAATTTAATTTGCAGTTGTGCTGGATTAGTCCTACCTCTAGGATACTGAAAAAAAAAAAAATGTCAATTCTTTCTGAGGAATTTAACCAAAACCCAGAATTCTAAGAATTCCCACAGATAAATCTCTAAGGAAATTGAGCATTGCCATGCTCAGTTTATACCAAAATATAAATCACAAAATAATAACTGAAATATAACATAAAAACTAGCAGAAGCAGACCCACAAACATTTCAGATACTTGGAATTATGAGTCTTAATAAAAGCAAATATGCTTAATTTTAAGAAATGAGATCACTGAAGATGAGGTCCTAGGAATGAAAGATTTTAAAGAACAGGTGAAGACTAACATTGACCTCATACAGGAGGCATACATAAGGTGTCCACCTCAAGAAATGCCCTATTTTGCTGTGTGGGTCAGGGTTGATAACTAGGGTTAAATCCAGCATAAGCCAATTGGGATTAGGCCAAGCTTATTAAGAGAAGATAGAGTTAGATCCCAGAGGAACTATAAAAATTGGCTAGCCTGTACTGGCAGGAACAAAGGGAGTTTCCATTATAATAGAATGAGTTGATCAAAGGTACCAAACTGGTTAATGAGAGCATGTTGATTTGGAAGCACTAGTGGGATATGGCAAAGACCCTGGGTTTGCAGCCAACATGCTGGTAGGGTGGTTCTCAGCCACCTGGGGAAGTGCCGGTTCACACTGTGCAAAATAAAACTGCCTGAGTACTGAGACCTTGGAGAAAGGAGTTGAAAGACTCAGGTAAGTGTGCTTGCAGGAATCAGTATCGTATACAAGGTCAGAGTACCCACACAGAATCATGTTTCACAGGAGTACCGATCAATGAGGCTATTAGAAATATGCTGGAGAGAGAGGTTCCAGCTTCTCTAAGAAGTTCAGTGGTAGCTCTCCTCTTTGAGGCAAGGCTAAGAATCAGAAAGGTGGTTTCAGAGTTCAATATGGTTAATGGGGAAAAGAGAGGGGCCAGGAGGTAGTAATTAATGTCACAAACTGGGTGTCATTTATCACCTTAGGAACAAGCAAGATTGTTAGGGCAATAAAGGGGGCTTGCGTGCAGAGAGTTACAGTAAGTCTAAAGGCAAAATAGACTGGCAGTTAGGGTTCTACTTAACACATGCAAAGAACAGAAGGCAATGGTGAAAGAAGAGAAGGAGAAGGTCATCTGATTTAAAGTCACATATTTTGCTTATATAACATAATTACATTTCAAAAAGGATGTAATGGTAGCATTCACGACCATATCTCCATTTAATTTTCCTTTGTGACCTTAGAAAATTTGAGTGAATCCTGGAGAATGACTACAGACTACAGCAAGTTCAAGCAACTAGCAGCCTCTGTAAATACCAGTTACAGTACTCAGCATACCAGCTATAGCCCCAAGATGAATTGCAATGCCAATGCTAGTTATTCCCACCACATTCCCACTCTAAGTTCTCACTCAGTAATAGACACCCACAGGAAACCTGAAAAAGAAGTTGCTTCCTGAACTCGTGTGGATGAAATAATCTTCACAATGCAAATGTGGACTATGGCAGCAATGCAGGTGTTATGTTCCATTGCTTGCCACAAGGAACTCAATTGACTGACAATCTTTGGAGAGTTGCTACATTGTTCAAGTCAAGAACACAATCTTTCCAAGCATCCAAGCTTAATCATTCTGTGTAAGGTCCTGGACATTTGTCCCAAAATGAGACTTCCTTAAAGAACAATCTTTGGTCTGGAGCATCCTATTGAACTAAGTGACTCTGAGTTTTAGCTTAGTTTGAGATGTTTCATCTTCAATTTTCCTTTCTTCTCTTCTTGTATAAGTATCAGATCTGTATCACCATCTAAAGACTATGGAAACAACCCAAATGCCCTAAAATAGATGACTGGATCAAGAAGATGTGGTACATATACACATGGAATATTACTCAGCAATCAAAAAAGATAAACACATGCAGTTTGCAGCAACATGGATGGAGCTAAAAGGGATCATGCTCAGCGAAATAAGTCAGAAAGAAAAAGAAAAATACCAGATGGTCTCACCCATAGCAGGAATTTAGAAAACCTAAATAAGGGACCAGGAAAAAGACTAATTAATACAAAGTAAAAATCAAAATCAACAAGCAACTATAAACCAAAGACACTCTATGGGGGTGGTGAGGGGGCGGGAAGAGGAAGGATTAGGGTTAAAATAAGTGGGGGTGCAATTGTATGGGGAATATAACCAAAATGAAAATGTATACATTGTGCAAAAATGATGTAAGAATTATATAAAACAAAATATTGAAAAAAATAGACTTTATCTGATAATTCCTCTCTCCCTTTCACTTTTATATTTCACAGGGTCATTGCTTCCAATAAAATTCTTACACTCTAATTTCTTGACATCTGTTTCCCAGAGACACTGAACTACGACAAGCATCTATAACTCTGATGGTAACACATGCAGCACAGTCCCTATAGCTAGTTGAGAATAACTAGCATTTTATGTTGTGGCTGAGCTAATTATTTTCTTCTCTTCATATTCCTAACTGATTTAACATTCTGAATCCAGCAATTTGGTCACACTTAGAAAGAGAATCTTATGATTATTTTTCTATATTTGGAGAAGTGTCCATCCTAGACCTGATCTTGGGAACATGCCCATACCAGATTCTAACATTTTTGTTACTGATGGGTTTTATCTTAAAAGTGAAAAGGTGCTATACCAGAATAGACATGTAAGATGCTTGTAGAATCCAATCCCTTACCAGCAACCAAATCAGTTCACATGGTTGAATGTGACACTTAAAAGATGATGTTAAAGCCAGTAAATATAATGGGAAAAATACACCAAACAATTAATACTTCTGGAATAGGTCATGATTTTTAAATGCTATAAATACACAAAGTTTCTACCCAA